TGGCATGAAGTGAAACTATTATATTGAATCAATTGCTAGGTCTACTCCTGGGAAACTTGGTTTACTGTATTGTGTAAGAGAATTTTTACAGGTTATTTAAAGCCAGAAAATATTTTTAGATTGTAAGGATTTTTTTGTTATAATGATGATTTAGTGAAACAAGTTTTACTAATTAACCTATAGATGGAAGGAGAAGAAGTGGATTCATACCTTTCTCAAGGGTATTTGCACATAAGTGAATATAAAGAACCCAACTGGAATTGGAACTTGACTTTGCAATTAACAATTCTGAGCTATTATCCATTAAATCACCTGTACATCCAATTTTACACTAACTGGTATTAGCAAGTGCTCACCCATCTAGGTATTGACTTGATATTGCTTAACTTCAAGGAGTTTCCAACTCAGTATTTATGCTGATAACATGACTATTTACTCTTGTCTTAATAGTAAGTATGATATGTTCAATAAAGTAAAACTTGCAGCTGATCTCAAAGAGGACCTTCAATCAGTTATTATCTGGGGCAAGGAATAGCTTGTAAATTTTAATGCCTCCAAAACAAAATTGCTGCTTTTAGTCATCTTAGAGAACCATTTTTGCTTTCCATCAATATGGCTGATGCCAATCACCAGGAGAGCAAATCACTGCATCTTTTTGATCTCACATATTACACTGACATGAAGTGAAACTATTATATTGAATCAATTACTAGGTTAGTTGGTTCACTGTATAATGCCAGACAATTTTTCTCATCAGAATCCATCTTGCATATTTATAAATCTACCATTCGTCCGTGCATTGAATATTCTGGTCATCTGGTCTGGTGCTACTATTATATATCTTGAGATTCTTAATAAAAATGCAAAGTAGGATCTGTAATGTTATCAGTCCTCACCTGGCATATTGCCTTAAGACACATTCCCACATAATATTGCTTATCACTGTCTTCACTATAAATATTTTCTTGGTAATTGTTCTGATGATGACATGAATTTAAGCATGCTACTTGATTGGCAATTAGGTCTCATTGTATTACTGTTGAAATAACTAGATGTACCCATAACTTCTATTCTAATAGTTTCTTCTCTTGCACTTCTCACCTGTGGAACTCTCTCTACTGGCTTCTTGCTTCCCTGTCAACTACAATCTTCAAAAATTTAAGAGCAACTCAAATCACCATTTTCTGTCTCCCTGAACCCTGTTCCTTTATTTTCCTTCTCCTCACTAATGTCTTCTTCATTTTCTTTCACTTTCAGTAACCCATTGCACTTTAGTAACATTGTCGCCTTGCATAGGATGAAAAAAATTAAAAAAAAAAAAAAATTATGTTCTCAAATAATTTCAACTGAAATATTCCTGCTAAATATATATCAACAAACTTTTATTGAATTAATGATACCAAACAATAACTGGATATATTTTACCAATTTTATCGCATTGTATGTACATTAAATAACACTACTTAAATGTACTAAGAAAATAACACATTAAATAACACTACTTAAACACAATATATTAAGAAAATATTGCGAAAGAATAGATTCCAATCATAACAATTCAATTATCAGCTAAAAGAGGAATAATTCTTTTTATAGCAAAAACATTTATAAAATTTATTATTTTGAAGCTGTAAAGAAAAGTCAGAATGAAGAATTCCCATCCCAATAAACAGTGTATAAGGAAAACGAATGAAATATAAATACAGAGTCGTACAAATGAAAAACAGAACAGAGAGTACATTTATATATCCATATAAATATGTGTGTACATATAATTGTATATAAGTCAGTACTTTCAATTTTATGGGCTTTAAAAAAAAAATAGTTGAGTAAGTTTTCATCAAATTTTTATATAAATTCATTAAAACATTTTATTAGAAAAACTCATTTCTTCTTAAATCAGATATAAAATCCGTATTTTATTTTTTTTAAATCCTAACTTAAATTTTCTTTCTCTAATGATGGAAAATAAAATCTTAACACCTGAACAACAATGACAATTTTAAGCAAGGTAAAAATATGTGCATTATGACTGATTATGACAGAATTGGACATTTCTCTAATACATGCATATACTTTCACTAACACTCTACCTTCAGTGGCTCTTGAGCCTTGTATTAGGTGAACAACAGTAAGTAAGTAAAAGAAAAACACTCATACCAGTGAGCTTTAGACAGTGGTGTAGTCTGTGCTAAAAGTTCAGTCTAGTAATAATGAGGACTGCAAGCAAGTGTCACGCCCTGGAAACAAACATGTGCTCTTGTTTTTCATTTAGAGCCATTTGAAAGGGGGGTGATTGTGAGTGCTAAAGAGGCAGAATGTTAAGAGAACTGCTATATGTGATGGACATGATACATCAGTGGTACTTCAATGTTTGGTAACATGATGCCAAATGAACATTCCTGTATCTGTAGACCAGGTTCTGGATGACCACATACTACAGATCGATTCACAGAAGCTTCAGAACAAATCAGAGTAAATGTAGTCCTACAGCTGTCAATGTGGACCATAGGGAATTGTTTACAGCATCACTCTGAATATGTGTGCCTCAAGCTACTGACACTACAACACTATATTACATACTTCCAATGATGTCACAAGAAGATTGATGGAGAGATCAAGTGGTGCTCCATAGTTGCCAATAATGAAAGCAGATTTATGAGAAGGTTGTTTGCAAGTACAAAAGGCCTGAAGAGCAAACATCTCCTACAACATGCAGGTACAACCTCCTGGTAGCAGACTGTGGAGGTGCCATAAGTTACAACCCTCATTTGCCTTTGGTCTTTCTGGAGAGAATATTGAACATCACTATATATTTCCAGAATATTGCTAGACTTATTCTACTGGTGTTCTTTCAACAGAAAGGTGATGTTCTGTTCTACCCACATGATGCGATGCATTCAAGATTACAGACCTGTATTGATAACCTAGAAAGGTAGGGTATTTATATGATGTCTAAGTAGTGCTGACACGACTTATTTGGGAAATTGTACATATATAGATTTGTATATACGATCGTTTACCACAATCCAGCTATATGACCTGCAGTCGATCGTTTAATGCAATCCAGCTATATGACCTATAATTTTTATTTTGAGTAAATTGAAACAATTTTTCAGTTTGTTGAGATTTTATTTTTTCATTGCATTTCAAAGAATATATTTTTACCCCTCCTAAAGAAGAATTTTCTAAACAGGTGTGTTTTGACACTTCAGCATAATTAACTGTTTTTCTTTTTTTTTTAATTATCAAATAATTTTTTTTCTGTGAATTCTTTTTTATACAGTTTAATTACATATTTGGTTTGACTAACAAAACTTAGGTAATATGTCACAAATTATCTGATTTTTAAAACACATATCCCAAATGCAAAACCATTGGAAAGTGATATCCTAAAAAGTAGAAGAGAACAGATTTTTAACTGTATTATTGAATCAACATTTCAATTACATTTATTATCTTTTGCTGTAAGTCTACTTTACAAAATAAAATTAGCAAATCATATTAAATCTATATACAGTTTATGTATATATTTATGTGGATATATAGATCTGCAAAACATTGCATGTGTGTATGCAGTATTTGTGATAAAACACCATCTCCTTTTGTATAAACAAAATTACTTACCTACAAGCTAAAGTAGTAGCTTTATCCCATATAGACAAGAGAGGTTTACTAAAACGCAGAGAAAGTAAGCAAGACATTAAAAAAAAAAATTAATTCTAATATTAATGTACAATACAAACACTGAAAAATTTCTAATATTGTAATTTTTCAATATTCACTCTTCCATTGAGATAGCAAACAGCCATTCAAATGATAACATCTGTTTAATTAATGTTTGGGAATCATTTTGCTAAATTCTGACAGTTTCACCTATAAGCCATTATCTTGGAACAAGCTGAGTAAAAAGAAAAAATAGGTTATTTCATATTAAGGATATCTGTTAGGATACTAAAACCTATTGAAATCAAAAATAAAAATCTTTTATATGTCCTCAGTTTTGCACTTGATCAATACAAAATGTTTATCTGCAAGGTGTGTCCAGAACATATTTAGTCATTTTAAATATATTGAGAACTGTTAGTTTGCCCTTCATGTCACTCCCACTCATCCCTGCCAGAAATACCTCCCACATAATGGTAAGACATTAGCTAGATGAAAACACCACACTAATGTCTTACCATTATGTGGGAGGTCCAGCCACTAAGTAAAGATAAAACAGATATATTTCTCTTAACTGCAGCCCAAAAATGAGCTTGTATATTTTAAAATAATTTAAGCAGAGATGTTTCATATTCAATAGTCTTAATCATTGATTGATTAGTTTTCTATGGCTTATCAAGCCTCTGTGAGTTTTTTTTTTTAAACAAGAAAATATTTTTTTAGATTTCAAAAAAAATTTAGTGGAGAGATAATGGTTTGGTAATACAAGTCTTACTAATAAACCCATGGCTGGGGAGGGGAGAGAAGAGGCAGATTCATGCCTAATAAGAATCTGATAAACAAACAAGACATTATGTGGATATAAAGTAGGGGATCCATTCTATATTACAAACAATATATAAACTAATCCCTCACTTTGTGGTCACTGTTGTTTCTATACATTTATATTCCAGAGAATGTAAGAGGGCAAGTCAAAAATTATCCGCACTTTCACAATAAACATATCCGTGTTATGAGTATGGATAATTTATTTTCCCTCATAAATAAATCTAAAAGACATGCATGTGTAGCTAATTAGTATTTCATTGATTGATTGTTTTCTACAGCTTATCAACCCTTTCAGGTTACTTAAAGCCAGAAAATATTTTTAGATTGAGATAATAATGTTTTAGTGATACAAGTCTTACTAATTAACCCATATTTGAGGGGAGAATATGTCAATTCATACCTTTCCCAAGGGTATTTCTTAGTAAGTGAACATAACAAACCCAACTGGAATTGGAATTTGGCTCTCCGATTAACAAATCCGAGCCATTATCTACCCATACATTCAGGCTTACAGCACCTGGTATTTCAAAGTGGTCACCCATCTAGGTTCTGACCAGGCTCAATGTTGCATAACTTTGGTGATCGTACAGGAACCAATGTTTCAACGTGATATGACCTTAAACCAATCTTAATCAGGTTGTATAAAAAAAATTATTGCTTACATGATTAAGAATTGTTTCTTATTTAAATTAGTGAATCACTGCACTTTCTAACTAATTAAATGTCATTCAATTAAAAACAATTGAATTTGCTAATTGTTCTGATAACAAAAAGCATAATTTTTAAAAATGTTTCAATTAAAAAATTGGTGTAAAAAAGATGCTTAGTAGCCATATTAGGTATTTAATTAAAGTTGTCATTTTGCAAGTTAAAATAGGTCCAAAAATCAAAAACTTTGACTCATACACTTTGATCTACTTTTCATACAAAAAACATTTCCAGAGATATTGAAGAAGAGAGTTTAATAAAAATTTTTTTTAAATATATCAAAGTTTTAATCTATATAATAAATGCGAATGTAAGTGTGTCACACTTTCAACTTTACTTCTAGAGGCCGTAGCCCAACATTTCATACCAGTTTGGAATCAGGCTGAATCTGTGAGCAAATTAAAACATTCTTGGCTAGATCTAGACATGCAATCCTGAAACTTTGGATTCCCAAGTTTTCATTACTACAATTGTTTTGGGGTTCCTCCATATTGGCTTCTACCAATAAAAACAACTAAAGGGATACAACTCTGTAATTTTCAATAGCTCATATTCAAATGAAAAAATTTATGTTTTCAAATTACAGTGTTTCAAAATAGGTACAGCCAACAATTGAAGTAGTCAAGGGGCTGATGACTTCTTAAAGAATATTTTTATTTTTATATTGTTTGTCAACAAAAAGATAGCTATTCTAGTTTATTTAAAGAATTTGCAATAAACTTACTTCATTATGTAAATATCGCTAAAATATATCTCGAGTAAAAAAATATTCAAGACAGGTGGGTGCTCATTAGAGGGTTGTTCTGCCTTGGAGAGAGCATTATTTAATTAGCCTAGGGGACTTCAAAAGGTCAAAATCCGGCCCTGGTAATGAGGTAGTTTGCAAAATATTCTTTAAAAGGCTTTAAAAGTGATGTAGCTAATATCTCAGTCAAACTTTTTTTGATGACTTAAAAAAAAAAAAAATATAGCAATAAAATGATTTAAAAAATGAAGTAACCATGAAACTGAATTCAATTTTTGGGAAAAGAAAAGACCAAGATAGGAAATAATAAAAATTAATTAAAAATAATCAACCATAAAATATATGTATGTTTTGTTTTACAGCATATCAACACCTCAATGGGTTATTTAATGCTGACAAGATTTTTTACAATAGATTTGTATAGATAAAATATATATACTTTGTAAGGAAACAGTTTGTAGATCTGGTATCATTGATATACTTTTGCAAAGAGGGTTGTCGATGGAAGCCTGCTTTCATGGATGTATTCTTTTCAGGTACATGGTTTGTAGAGAAATTGATTTTGACATTCTCATTTGGTTTATAATTTTTGGTAGAGTCCTACTTTTTTGAGAAATGATATTATATCATCCACTTACTTTCTCAAACTGCTCATACATATTGTTCATATTATAGTATTTTTTTTGTTGAGAGAGCAAGATCTGAACACTCAGTTAATATGTTTAATAGTATATGCCATTTTACATGCTTGGCATACCAGTTGATCTCCTTTGTTTAGTAAGTACGAGTGGATTATTCTTATATAGCCAATGTGTATATGGGCCAGTAGCACTTCTTCCTTGAGAGATTTTCTCAGAGTTGACTTTTTGGGTAGGACTGCAAAGGGTTTATTGTATGAGTTGTCATCCCAGTACCATTGTCATTCTTTTTGAAAGTATTTATTAATAACCTCCTTGAAATCTGTACATGGGATTTTGATCCTTGTATCAACATTCACACCTAAAGCCAACTTGGCTGCCAGATCCACTTCATTATTAACTTTAACTCCAATGTGGCTAGGAATCTAGAATAGTTTGATGCCTTTATGCTTATTAATAGTACTTATTTTGCATAATATTTTCATAAGTTGGTTGTTGAATTTTTTTCCTTCAAAGCCAACAGGACAGATAGTAAGAAAAAAATTAGAAAATTTTTTTTTGTTTGCTCTCTGATATAATGCTGAGAGCTAGCTTAATGGTTTGGTTTATTTTGTTTTACGGCATATCAACCTCAATGGGTTATTTGATGCCGACAAATTTTTTTATTGCTGGTAATCTTTTGTTTTGTCAAAAATCCATTTCTGGTAATACTTTTTCCTTCGAAATTGTATTGCTGGTAATAATTTTTTCAAAAAAGTATTGCTGGTAATAGTTAACTATTTGCCCATAGCTAGAACCCTAACAGGTGCTACCACCCTGGGTCAGGGTGGATCTGAGAACACCAGCAATTAAGAGGTGGTTCCAAGCTCCTCAAAACCTCCTGAACAGAGGCCTGGCTGTTGGACGTAGTTTATCGTCTTACCCAGGACACGGATGTAGTGAGTTAGCTTGATTGCATAAGACTCTGCAGTGAAAATATTTGGGTTCACTGCTGCACATCCTATCTTGTCCTCACATTTTGACCCATCTGTATAGATGTTTAGGGAAGTTTGTTAATATGTCCTGAAATTTATCCTGGAATGTGAGTGGGTGCATTTTCTGTTTTGGGAGATTATGCAATTCTAGCAAAACTTTGTTGCTTGATAGTCCATGGCGGAAAACTGGCTGCAGTTGTTTCTTGTATATTTGACAGTGTGGTGCCTAACACTTCAGCAATGAATTTCAGGGTCCGTCATCCTTTCCTTTTGGAATAGAGATGATGAATAATTGTCTCCATATATCTGGGAAGTTGCCACTTGTCCATATGCTGTGATGATTTTTTTTATTGTTTTATGAATTGATAGTGGATATCATCTGGTCCTACAGCTGTATTGTGGGCTTTCTTTAAAGATTCATTTAGTTCCTCTATAGTGAATGCTTTCAGCGTTATTCTTTTTTTACCTTTTGTCTGAGCTTCAGAAATTGTTGGCTACCATTATTGGCAGATGAGTTTTTGTATATTATTTTGGCTAATTGATCAGCAATATCCTTTTGCTGGTTATTTTAGTTATTTATTGGGAGATGTTTTATAGTGTTACAATGATGTTTACCAGCTATTTTCCTTATATCCAATACAGATTTTGTTTTTGTGGTAGAATTAAGTCTGCTGACATAGTTTGTCCAACATTCTTTTTAGCTTTCTTTAATTGTTTTCCATGCTTTTGCTCAAAGTTGCTTATTAAATTGTAACAAATTAGAGATTGAACGCTGTTTGTTGAAATCTCTCAAAACTGTTCTTCTGAGCCTGACAGCTTCCTTACACTCATCATTGAACCAAGGTCTGTTACATTTACTTTGTATTAAACTTTTTGGAATGGATTCCTTTGCAATAGATATAAGGATTTCTGTAAACTGTACTAAGTGTTTTTTAAATTTGTCCTAGTTCGCTCCTAATTTCCAACAGAGAAGATTTTTATAATTATGTTCTGAATTTTAAAGAACAGTTGGCAAATGATCACTACTGCATGTGTCCACCAGAACCTTCCAAGAGAAATCCATATAGATTGATGGATCACATATAGATAAATCTATTGCAGAGTAGCTGCTAGTAAATGGATTTATGTAGGTTGGAGTTTTATCATTATAAATACAGAAATCATTGGTGTTTATAATTGTTTCTAAAGTACTTCACTTTTCGTTTGTGTCTTTACAGCCTCATATGGTACTGTGACAGTTAAAGTCCCCTAGTATTATAAAGGATGTAGGTAGCTGCCTTATAATTTCATGAATTTTAGCTTCATTTACTTCTTCATTAGGTGGGATATACAGTAGAGTAGTGGCTCAGATTGAGAAATCGGAGAGCCGAGTTCAAATTCCAGTCAGATCCATTACATTCACTTACATGCTAATATCCTTGGGAAAGGTATGAATCTTTTTCTTCTCCCCTCAGCTATGGGTAAATAGCAGGACAGACTGGGTTTTATAGACTTGGATGGCAACTGGTCTAACACAAAGAAATGTCAACCTACTGCAGGAAAAAATCTGCCTCGTCAAGTCATGTATCGAAATATATATGATTGCCTAAGCATGTATCATGCATGACACATACTGAACCGATACTGAGCAAATCTTCTATTGGCCTATTTATTCCAGACTAGGATAGGTGTACCACCAGATGCACGAATTCCAGTGCCATGTGTATGATTGTATTGCTGGTATTCTTTTATACTCATTTAATCACCTTGCTCAAAGAATGTTTCCTGAAGGCAAATAACTGCCAGTAACAGGTCTGTTATTAACAAAAGCAGTTCATTTATAATTGCCTTTATTCCATGGCAGTTCTATTATCTTATACATGGTTGTTTAAACATTTTCAGTCTTTAGCTTATGTGGTTTCAATTTCTTTTTCCTAGGTTTTCATTTGGGTGTTTTAGCCATTTGAGGGTTCTGGCTTTCCACCTCCATCTTTTCTAGTTCATCAATTCGGGTTTGTGTAGGAAGTTGGTCATTGTGGATTTTCGGCTTTTGTTTGGCCGATTCTGTTCTTTTGAAAGATAAGCTTTTCAGTCCGTCTTTCTTGGATTTTTGGTGGATGGATAGGAGATCGCTGTGACGTTTGTTTAGTAGGAGATTTGGTATTTTTGGTAGGGGCAGTTTGTGTTTGAGCTGTCATTTTGCTATTTTTTTTTTGTTTTTTTTTTTTTCATTTATTTATTTATTTATTTATTATTTGAGTTTTATTATTGTCCTTTTGCAGTTCAGCCTGCACCATTTCCTTGGAACAGATTTTTTAGGTAAGTTTGAAATTTGGGCCAATCATTTGGTCCCAAGTGTACAAGCTTCTCAATGACGGCTCTGTATTTATCAAGCTGCCAGTATTATTTATAATCTTATTTTCCATTATTTTTGTGTAGGAAGGGCTTTTCATGTAATCTTCTACTACTTGCCTTGTTATAAGTGTTACCCCTTTTCTTTTAATTCAGAGACTATGGTAATCACTGACTCCTTGGCTTCCTAAGGCAGATGTAATTTCCTCAGGTGTGGCCAGAGACAACTCTTTACTTCTAATGACCCCCTCAAAAGTATTCAATCTTGCATGAGGGAAGGTTTTTATTTTGATATTATGAAAGGTCTTCACTTTTATTATATTTTCTGTGTGTTTCCACATCAAACAACAAATTGCCATCTCTTAACTTTCTAAATGTTTTAGGATTAATCCTACTTGATAGTACCTTTTCAATCAAGAATGGAGAACGTTTTACCAGTGGAATTTCTTCTAGGGATATGAGCACAAAGAATTTTGGAAATTCCATATTAATTTCTTTTTGAGAGTCAGACTCTGAAAGACATCTTTTGGGCATTTTAGTTTGATTATTCATAATTTTTGTGTATTAAGATTCACTGCCTGTGCTCCCCGCCCACCTCAGAGCTAAACTTTGTGATGTGTCAAGGGGGGAACACAGTTGTCTTGAGAGGTCAGATCTACACAAACCAGTATACACGTATTCGAGAGAGACTCTGAACACCTGTTAAACAATTTGTAGCACTTCCCAAACAAGTGTACAAACTGATATGTTCAGTCTAGATCTCTTCAAATCGATTGACCCTCAGTCATCGCTTTCTAACGTCTATAAATTGGATAGAGATGGCATTTTATCCCAGTATATATTTGGGGTATTGTATTTAGTTATAAATTACTCCATAAATTGATATAGTTATTAGCGCTAGGGCTTGTCATGACCAGCTGATTAATCGGATCAGGCCTATCTGACTGCCCATCTAGTCCAAGTAGGGCCAAAATGGTGTGTTAGGAATCAGAACTAACCAACCCTGATACCTGATGCCCTCAACCTCCAAGATCCCATCCCCAAATATTACAGGTTGCCACCACAGCAACATTTCCTCTTTGGTACCTTGACCACATGACTTTAAGCATACTACAAGACCGGCAGCTAGATCACATTTTACTGTTGAATTAGTTAGATATAACTAAGTTTTATTCTAATATTTTCTTTTCTCACACTTCTCACCTGTGGAACTCTTTTCTGGTTTCTTGCTTCCCTGCCATCTAAATGCAACATCAATTGCAATCTTCTTCTCACTAAAGTCTTCACATTCTCTTACACTCAACTCTTAAACATCCTGTACAACATGGCTTTGAATTGGCTAACTAGTCGTGAAGTGCAATGATTTTATAGAAATTGCACTAATCCTGTTTGCATTCATTTTTAATTGAAAGAAGACAGAATGCATAATTGTTAGCAAAAGGGACAGTCCAACATGCAAATTACAAATTGGGGATACCAAAATCAAACAAGTACAATAATTTAAATAGCTGGGAAGTGTTCTAACAGAGGGTGGAAAGTCCGACACTGAAATCCAAAGGCATATTGGGACAGTGAAAGATGCCTTCAAAAAGCTGAGCAAAATATTAAGAAACAAAGAAAAGAGTACTGAACTGTTATGTAATATCAGTCCTCCTATATGGCAGTGAATCCTGGACAATCGCCTCACAAATGAAGAGACTTTATGCAACAGAAATATGGTTCGACAGTAAGATACTAAGAATACCAGGAACCAAATATGTGAGCAATTACAAAGTTTTAGAGAAAATGGAAACAAAAAGGACACTTATACTTAACATCAGAAAGAGAAAGTTAAAATTTCTAAGGGAAAGAGAGCTTGGAAAATTTGATACTCACAGGATCGATTGAATGTACAAAGAACAGAGGGAAACAACATGTAACCTACCTAGTGATCTTGAATAAATGGATGGAAAAACAAGGTTTAAGAAAGATAACAGAAAGAGAAAATTTATTAAGAGCTATGAATGACAGGAAGTTGTGGAGAGCCATGATTGCCAACGTTCTGAAGGGACACAGCACATGAAAGAAGAAGCTTTACTCCCAAATGTAACGGAGAAAGGGACTAACAACATGTGTCATCTTTCAGGCAGAGTTTGGGCCTAGTGCAGAACCTATGACACCAGTTATCAAGAAAGCCCCACTCAGGCTGGTAGTGGTTCTGTTCTAGTTTGGGGTGTTCATATGGCATAGTTTGGGTTAACTTAACCCTGTAGCATTTGATCAATCAATTGATTGCAAATCCCGTGAACCCTGAGATTCGTAGGAGCACCGCATGTACTGCAGCCACAGTAGAAGTAGTGTTTCTTGGGCAAGATAGCTTGACGGAGCCCAGGCTGGTTTTGAAATCAGAGTTTCCTTCTCCTAGACTGGTTGCCATCCAAGGCTATAGAACCCAGTCTGTTCTTCTATTTACCCATAGCTGGGAAGAGAAGAGGATTCATACCTTTCCCAAGGTTATTAGCACATAAATGAATGTAATGGATCCAACTGGAATCTGAATTTGGCTCTCCGATTACTCAATCCAAGCCACTATACATCACTCTATCATGCCTCCACCTTTAGCATCCAAACCTGCCCAAACCCACCCCATAAATATTGGCTCAATGTTCAATCTGCCATAACTTGTTCCATGTATACATTTCCATAATATATGATGACATCATTGCAAGTAAGGCAGGAAGTCACACAAACAGTGAGAATGAGAGGCGATATTTACAAAGTAGGTTTGATTGTGTCGAATACTAAAGGGTTGAACATGTCATTTTATAATACATGCTCTTTTGATTCCAAATCTGTTTGGCAATTTAGAACAGCTTTTTGTATGGACAGGACTACGAGTATTTGAGATTTTAGTAACTTGACAGAAGCAGAAGATTTCCAACTCTCTAAAAAAATATAAAAACTTCTATCTATAATATCCTCTTAAACCTTTTAAAAAAATGATTTTTGTATCTTATATTCCCTTCAGTCAATCAGTTAAGTGCCTTACATGATACATGCTTTAGCAATCATGTCTCTTTCGATTCATAACTGACAAAGCAGAAGATTGCAGTGTCTTTCTGTGGTAGACTGGTTGCCAACCAAGGCTATAGGATCAAGTCTGTCCTGCTATTGAACCCATAGCTAGGAGGAAGGGAAATGGATTAATACCTTTCCCAATGGTATATGCACATAAGTGAATGTAACGAACCCAACTAAAATTTGCTCTCCAAGTTCTGATGCATATCCTATATCCCCAGGGACCTTTCAGAGAAATGCTTTTCATATCTTACATCCCCTGGGACCTTTCAAAGAAATGCTTTTTGTATCTTACATCCCCTGGGACCATCAGAGAAATGCTTTTTGTATCTTATATCCCCTGGGACCTTTCAAAGAAATGATTTTCGTATCTTATATCCCCTGGGACCTTTCAAACAAATGATTTTCGTATCTTATATCCCCTGGGACCTTTCAAACAAATGATTTTTGTATCTTATATCCCCTGGGACCTTTCAAACAAATGATTTTTGTATCTTATATCCCCTGGGACCTTTCAAACAAATGATTTTTGTATCTTATATCCCCTGGGACCTTTCAAACAAATGATTTTCGTATCTTATATCACCTGGGACTTTTCAAACAAATGCTTTTTGTATCTTGCATCGCCTGAGACCTTTCAAAGAAATGCTTTCCAAAATCTTACATCCCCTGGGACCTTCCAAAGAAATGCTTTTTGTATCTTATATCCCCTGAGACCTTTCAAAAAAATGCTTTTCATACCTTACATCCCCTGGGACCATACAAAGAAATGCTTTTTATATCTTGTATTCCAAGACCTTTCAAAAAATGCTTTCCATATCTTATATCCACGAGAACTTTAAAAAAAAATTCTTTTCGTATCTTGTGTCCTGAGACCTTTCAAAAAATGTCTTTCATATCTTATATCCTTTTAGTCCTCCTAAAAAAATGCTTTTAGTATCTTATATCCTCTTAATCCTTCCAAAAAATGCGTTTTGTATCTCATATCCTCTTAGACCTTCCAAAAAAAGATTTTTATATCAACAGGGAAGCTGGTGACTAGATTCTTGACAAACTGAAATAGTAATTTACACACATTCAAAACAAAAACATAAAAAAAAACTACATTAACAAATAGCAAGTTCCTGGCAGCAGCACAAGAGGCAATCACTAAGTTCTACAGTGAAACAAATCAGTTGTGAAACAATGAGCAGCATCTATAATTGGCAAAAGCCAGTAAGATATGCATTATAGAAAACAGAAAAGTAGCAAAGATCAGAATGACAACTTTAGTGTATATATATATATATATATATATATATATATATATATATATATATATTAAACAAAAAAAAAGATCCAAGTTTGACTTTGGAAATAAGAAAATAAAATAGAAATTTTGGGGCAATTATTTTAAGTGTTACAAGTGAGAAAACAATTAGAAAGAATAAACAAACAAAGCAGAAATGCACTGAAGTGAGACAGACAGATGAACAGGCTGGCTGGCTGGCTAATTGGCTAAATGATAGGTTGGGCATACAACAAAGTCCAAACGTCTCTGCATATCTTCAAGACCGCAAAACTAACAGTTACATGCTAATGCAAGATAAATATGAAAAGAAAGAAAGGATGAAGAAATTGGGTAATGTAAGGTAATATATATATATTTTTTTTTATACCTGGAACGAGTCTTGATGTATACACTGCATGGAAAGAGAGAAAGCATACAATTCACAATAGAAAGGAATAATTCTTTACCAAATGTAATTAAACATGGCAAACTGGAACCTTTGCAGCAGCTCAGGAGCTGAAATGACAGGGACGGCTCGAGCAGTTATTTCCCTTAATAAAGAACCACAGGGTTTCAATGTATGTACTTATAAAAGAAGTACATTTATATCTGATTTTACCCAGCAATGTATCAACAGACATTTTTCTTGATAAAAAAAAGTGTGTGTGTGTGTGTGTGTGTGTGTGTGTGTAAATAGGTTGATATAAAAGAGAAGTGATTTATCTATGGTAATGATAATATTAGCTGTTAACTTATAGGGAAATGGTTTGTTTAAAAGGATTCAGATGTTCCCAATAACAAGAGGTGATATATAAATAATTTATGCTTTTATATATACATGTGAAAATGTCTCTATAAAAGAATGTCCCAAACTATTTTCTCGCTATGCCTGAAGAATTACAATTTAAAGTGTAAAAACTTTACAACAAAACTTTTTAATGAAAATTCCTTTGTGCTAAAGACTAAATAAGCACTTCCCAAAGTAAATCGGACTTTTATAACGAGTGCTGCAAAAAGCAAATTTTATTTTCACTGTTCGTCAGTAATTTCTTATGCATCTGTTCATTCATTAGAACAGATACTACACTTTTGTTTTAGAAGACTCCTTACAAATTGCATTAATTACTGCTTTACAAACAGAGACCTTTTAATGTTTTTTTTACATAAATGGCATTAGCAATTGACTAGATATTTGGCAAATTAAAATTTATAGTGTTTAATTTTTATGTGCTTTCAGTTTTACAACCAAATGTCATTAATGGTACAAATGAATTTTCTCCAACAATTGTAGAGCATTTGGATACAACAAAAGTAGTTTTTATTTAGACTAAAAAAATAAAAAAAGGACATTATGAATAAAGTTAAAAGGAAAACTTATCTTAGCTGACATGTTTCATCCTCTGATGGACTTTATTAAGGCAAATGTAAGAATTTTATTTTGCAACAAGTATTTATAAACAAAAGTTAAAATGAAAAAAAAAAATTGTTCACTTTTGTTTATCAGAATTTAAATTTCGTCACTTTGCATCTTCCTTAATTTACCTGGAGTTTTTTTCAGTTCACCTGAATATTTATGAGCATTCTTAAATTTTAAATTTTGGAAAAACTAATGACATTTTTATTTTTGTTTATAAATATCTGTTGCAAAGTAAAATCTTTACATTTGCCTTGATAAAGTCCATCAGAGAACAAAACACAGTTTTCCTCGTTTTTATATATATATATATATATATACACACACACACACACAGTGGCGTAGCTAGAGTAAACGTCACCCAGGTCAGTCCGCTCAAATGTCACCCCAATGACCCCGATTCACCCTATACTGAATGGTTAGCTGTAACTAAATTTTCATACATGCTCTACCTCTACTTTACTCTACTGACCGGTACAATACTGTTTACATGTATGATCCAAGACAAAATCCAATACCACAAAATAATCACTTCAAAATCAAAAGATTTTTAAAATACTACTGTTCACTTTCAGAACAACTAAATATAAAACACGACAATACACAAAAGAATGACATTCGATACTGTGGTCTTAGAATGAATGTTTTCTTGTTTTCATTGTGGCAAACTGGTCAATGACATCGTCAAAAATCTGTTTGTCTTGTAAGCTCGTTTTCAATGGACAGCACAGCCAGATCCGACAGTCTCGACTGGCTCATGGTTGACGTAATTTTCTGTTGTTAATTTTTCGGTGTCCAATTTTCCGTTGCATCATTTTCTGGGTACCATTTAATTATCAATGATGTTTGAAAGTATTTTTCTTGACAAAAATGTTCTATTTAATCTTTAAGCATTTTTCGAACATTGTAAATCAACTGCATTCTTTTAAAGGTTACCTAGAGAATTTATGCAAAGTTATTTTTTTTGTTTTTTCTTTATACAAGTAAAATAAATTTACATCGTATTTTGATGTTATTATGATTTTAGTTTTAGTGATAATTTAAAACAATAAATATTTATCATTAGTACCAATAATGGAAAATTAAGTTAAAAATTTAAAAGAATCGTTTTTGGAATTGGAAAATAGGCACAAATTTTTCCGATTCCGATACCCCAAAAAGTTCTGATTTTTCCAATTCTCAATTCCAATTAATCATCCCAACACTAGTAGATATATTCAAAAGTAGATCACTCACTCAATGGAAAATTGTATCTCATCGAATTGATACACAGGCAAGATTGAAATTGTTGCACTTTTGGCTTCGTATTTCGCTTTGTTGTTATTAATGATGAAGAGTTAAAACACCATCATATTTTATCATCCGATAAAATGTTACAACAATGTCTCTTGTTAGTAACCAAGATTGTAGCAACTTGACACATGAAAGCTGAAAACATTGCTATTTTTCCTACTCACAAATTTCCCGACAATTTATTAGAAAATTTCTGACAGGGGGACAAAACTGGGGGGGGGTCATATGCCCGCCTGCGAAACCCTGTGTCTCCACCACTGTTTTCAGACTATTTTTGGCACCTTGGCTTGGTTGAAAAATTTTGTTGGGGGTGACATTGTGTCACCTCTCCTGTGCTGGCACCCGGGGCGGTCCACCACCCTTGCCCCCTCTTAGCTATGCCACATTTTTATAAGAGACACACATATTTCAAGTAGACACTCCATTTTGATTTACTAAAATTTTTTGCAACACACAATCATGTGTTGAAATCCTTACAGTATTTAGTATTGTTGAACTTATTGCTAACATTTTTTGTCAAGATTTACAAACTTTACATTTCATTCAATTTTGCAAACTAATCGATGAAATTTGAATAAGGTGATTAGTTTGAAAAAAATATATGAGAGGCACAGTGAAGTAATGGATAGAGGCTCGGACTGAGGAATCAGAGAGCTGAGTTCAAATTCCAGTCGAATCCATTACATTCGCTTACGTGCTAATACCCTTGGGAAAGGTATGAATCCTCTTCTTCTTCTCCCCCCCAGCTATGCGTAAATAACAGGACAGACTGGGTTCTTGCTATAGAGTAGTTTCACAGTGGAGGCTTGTATTTCACTAAGTCGGTCCTAAAATAGGTTCGACATACAAAACGTTAGGAACTTGATATAATAGGTAATGACACAGTATCCGACTAACGGTTGTCCGGCATTGACTGACTGACCCACTTACTGAGCCCTGAGTGACTGCTACTACTCCTACTTATTATAGGTGGGAGAGTCTATTAACAATAGAATAGGCGTGTTTCACTATAACAGTTCTATAGCCTTGAATGGCTGCTGGTCTACCACAGAAAGAAATGGCAACCTTCTGCAGGGAAAAAATCTGCCTTGTCAGTCATGTATCGAAATATACATGATCGCCTAAGCATGTATGGCACATAACTGACTGATACTTTGACAAGAACCCTACTTCACAGTTTAATAATTTCTTTAATTTATTTTAATTTTATAGGACTTTATGGTAAACAATATTTTTTTAACTTCTTTTTTTCTTATTTTAACCATGAAGAATAAAATTCTTAGGAGCTCTTACTCTTGAGCATGCAACATAAAAATGAACGTGTGTAAATAGTTCTTTCTGGAGCCAAAATTCCAAATTTTAGAAACATTTAGCCTTGTGATTTATTTATAATTCTCACAAATGCAGGGCAAACTGGAAACTGGATTCTTGAATATAAAAACTTAAAGAAAAGATATGCAAATAACAATACTGCATTTTTATTAAATAAGTATTTCTTATTTTAACCATTGAATTAAGTAAGTGTAAAACTTTTAATTTTTCCAAAAAATTAATGAAAATTTATTGTACTAAGCTACGCACCCAATTGTACTTTGTACTCTGCACTTCTCCACAAGATTTGGTTCTGATCAATCAATATATGGCTATTTTAGAGAATGTGACTGACAGACAGATGGACTAACAGAAGTTACATATTCTATATATAGACAGATTAAAAAGTAGTATCTCTATCTGCCTGCACATTCCATAAATCCTAGTAAAGACATTGCTAGTATTTGCAGGTTGGCAGGTGTATAGACAATATATATATATATATGTGTGTGTGGTGTGTGTGTGAGAGAGAGAGTGTGTGTGTGTATAATATATATATATATATATATATATTTGCATATTATTTTTCTTATGCATATAAAAGTCTGCTATTTTAAATTCTTTTATAAGAGCTTAATACATAAGAAGTATTTTTCTTTTATTTATCCATTTTTACACATTAGTGCATTATTTCTTAAAATATATATAAAAAAAAAAGGTAAATAAAACAAAATAAATGTCAATTTTTAGGTATGCTTATATTCACTAATAATTCTACCAAATATTGGATAGAAGGGGGTATCCATAAAACTGAAATTGGATTCATACATAAGAGAATTATTTTAGCAAGGTAACTCCAAAGATTTGCTAAAAAATGAGCTTATATGATAAAGAAAATGCTTCAAATTTTATATAAACAAAGTTTTAGCGTCAAAAGAGGAAAAACCAAAGGATTTTTTAATTATTAAATTGTTTTTTCATTTTTTAATCCTTTTTAGAATCATCAAAATTTTGGTTAAAAATTTTGTTTTTCAATGTGTGACCATAAATTAGTATGAGAAATTTTAGCATCTTTGTGCAGTAAAAAAAAAAACATTCATGATAGAAGTCTTGCAAAAATTGTCAGCTAATTGTCAGATTTTAATCAAAATTTTCGGCCTTATTCACAAATGAAGGAAATTATTTAAGAAACATTTTTTTTTTAGAAAATCCTGGTAATTTTTTTTTTTTTTTTTTTTTTTTTTTACATATGTTACCCACCACTTATTTAGTTTAATGAAATTTCAAGGAAAAAATATATACTTTCTTTAGTTTATGCAACAAGTGAAAACTGAAAAAAATAAATAAATAAATATGGTACTATTTGTCTGTCAGATATTTATTTTTTCATGAATAAAAGAAGAAAAAGCATCGAGGGTTGATTGTATTTCTTTCTTCTTACATGTCTCTTTAATCTTCCCTATAAGAATTCAAGGCTTCCATTACAGATGTTTTTAAC